GATCAAGACAAGTCGTCACATATGGGTATGATAATTGTAGCAGTGAGAGTCAAAGATCAAACCCGGTCACCAATCTCCACCAAAATATTGTAAGGGTTTAGTAAATTGAAAATCCAGGATGGAAAAAGGTAAACATGAGTTTCAATATAATGAGTCATTAATTGATAAATATTGACACTTTCATTAATATTTAGGGCAATGTGTATTTTCATTCAATATAAAGTTTTCAAAGTTAAGAATTGGTAGTAGAAATGTTGAATATGCAACCTATCACAAAATTTTGAAGAACACTATGACGAGTACTTTTGTGGGAAATGTACATAAGGAAGACTACACGTAGGTAATAATCTATCTCTACTCTTCCATTATTTTCAACTTCGTATTCATTTATTCGAGAAAAAAACTACCATACCAACTAAAACATTGATTAGTAGAAAGATATAATTAAAGGAGAATTGTCCAACGGAATAAGGAATAATGCAGGTTAGATAGAGACTAAGAGCACTGAGAGCAATTTGAATAAAATTTATAAAAATTCTGGGTTATCTAATAAAAAATTAGGGTTTGGAGGCAATATGACTTGGATGGCTAAAAATACAAAAGAAAATGTTGGAAAATATTATTACCCTCAATAGAAATAATAATAAATAATCGTTCATCAATACATCCCCTCTAAAAGATTATTTTCATCAAGAATCAACATGAATTACTATAACTTCTTCCTATACTTCCAATTTAATCTTAACTTCTGCAATTAATTCAATGCGACAAAATAAAAGTTCTAACTACCCAATATGAATGAAGATTTCTTAATTGACGCGGGCAACAACCAAAAAGTAGTTGCTTCATCCTTCTTGATCATACTTGATGCTTCTTTGACACCGAGATATCTGCCAAACCTTTCAAATAAATGGCACATTATAACTTCAATGCAACGAGAGAACGATTATCTACATTACCTCTACTCCTAAAACTACTACGAATTATAACTTCAATGAAACGAGAGAACGGTTATCTACATTACCTCTACTCCTAAAACTACTACGAATTCTACTAAACTTTATTATTATTCATTGACATACGTAAACCAAAGAACTACGATACATATTTATAGGACTCTCTCACAAGCCATTCCCCTCTCGAATAAGGTAAGTTATTTCTAACCCAACAAGTAAATAATAACTTTCTCAACAAAACACAATAAACTAATACGAATAATCATAATAATACCCGAATATTCTAATACGAAAGACAATAATAATAGTAGTAATAAATCTCATGCGGCCTAGGAGGCTATAATGCACCAATAAATTTCACTTGACTACGACAACCATTGATGAGAGAGATGATCTTGGTATCCATAAGTAATTAACATAAAGATATAATTAGAGGATAATCAGACAAAAAGGGGGAAATAAATAAACTACCAGACAATAAATAATTGAGACTATAGAATTTAGGTTGCCATAAGAGAACTGATAGAAATCCAAGGAGATGTACAACAAAATTAGGGTATGGAGTAACAAAATTAACAGGATTAATTAGAGAGGAAGAACAAAGAAATGTTTGAGATAATTGATTTGGTAAATTTTTTGTTTGTTGTTTAATAATCTAAATGAACGAATAAAGTATATATATATATATATATATATATATATATATATATATATATATATATATATATATAAAAAATAAACCACCCAAAATCTTATACTACTAGGCCATTGACTTGGCCGCCACCCAGAACTCACAAAACACACATCCGCACAACTAATTTTACGACTTCCCTTCCAAATGAATCCATATACGAGAATAATAAATAACATCAAATTTAATACTAATTATTCATTCACGAATTTAATATAATGAAGTTAATGTCATGGTGATGTTAAGAAGAAGGAAGAGATTATTTCATGGTAGAGATAGATGTTTCAATGACGGCGATGATCGTGATTCGTGAAGGCATATTGTTAGCGGATATGAAGATGTTGTTGATGGAGAAGCAATCTTAAAGAATTCCCAAAAAATTATGTTCAGTTTGATATCAAGGGGTAAATCAAACTGTAATTTGGTAAGATTTTTAAATGTTGGTTCCCTTGCATATGTTTTTCTTTAATTTTGGTAAGGGTCTGGATGATCATCGGTTCTAGAGCACTTTTATTCTGTTATAAAGTATCGGTGCTTTAATGTATAATTTAAAGTTGTACCATAACATTGATGGTATAAGTTCAGAGTGTACCATAAATGAATTTGTACCATTATGTTATGGTTGTTGTGAAGTTGTACCATAAAAGTACATGTTTATGTTGTACCATAAAAGAATTTGTACAAAAATTATAGGTACAATCTAAAGTTGTACTATAACGTTAAAAATACAATTTCAAATTCTATCATAAAAGCAAAAACATATAACACCAATGCGATAATGCATTGTAAAATTCCTCTCGGTTAGGATGCCAGATTAATTTATGATGTATATTTATTTTTGTATTTTTATAATTAAATAATTTAATATTTTTATGACCCAATAAAAATGTGGCATACTTCCTACAATAGTAATGATTGTTTATTTCACTAACCCAATGAACCCGACCATCGGGTCGGGCCCAAATCTAGTATAATACATAGTCATACCCGTAACAAGACACAATAGGTGTTTTAAATGAGACATAATAGGTGTTTATGAATGAGATCAAATAGCTGGATTGATCCATGTATACGTACACATCTAACCAAATATTCTATTAGAGAACATAACAAGTCATGTCGATATAAGCGAACGGGTCTCACATCATCCACATGATTTTATATATCTTCTATTGCATGTCCAATGTGAATATAAACTTTTATTTTAACAAAATCATCATTCCGAAATCGCCGTCAACCTTAACTCGGCTAATCCTTAATCCAAACTATATGGTTGACAAATGAGAAGCAAAATATATGCATGTTGGTAACTGGCTGGACTTTCTACCAAATAACTCGACCCGATTGTTTTCTTCTGCGTTTGAACTTTGAAGACGTCAAAACTCAAAACGGCGTTAAAATCCGATACCAATGGCCACGACCGTCGATCGGCAGAATTCGATTTTGGCATTTGAGAAAAGCCGTAATGCCGGAAAGAAAGAAAGAAAGAAAGAGTGGTCGGCCGGATTATTATAAGTACGACGTACCACCAAGCACAATTGCACAAATATGGATTCACACGTAAATCCTCTTTTTTCCTTCTTTTTCGATTTTTTTTAGTTTACAGAAGCGAATTGGTTCACATTTCACACGGACGCTTTATTTAATTGTTTAGTTTTTCTCAAGAGCCAAACAACTCCTTGGAAATTAAGCCAAGTTGGGCCAAAATAAGTTTGTCTCTCGATATTTCTACTTTCTGTTCTTTTTTTTTTTGTTTTTGCACATATGTACGACATGGTCAACTCATAATCGCAAACCCTTGTTATTCTGTTGTCAACGACATGTCATATTGACAAGTACAAGATGTAATGATTTGAATGAAGCGGGTTTTGGATTTTCAATATGTTTTGTATTCCGGTGGTTTGATTTAAGACTCGTAATCTGCTTCACTCATCTCGTATGACCGGCTAAAATTGTTGTCAATTTGGTTATTTGAATATTTCATATGTTCGGTTCTAAAAATTGCATTTTGTTGTTGGATTTCTGGAGTATTATCTGTACACCTATGACTAATACACTTAACATTTACACTAATAATCGGGCACTTGTGGATACAAATACATTAGTACATGCTCATGAAAGTTGTTTTAACAAAATATGCACATGTTCTTAGGATATATGCAATTAGTAAAAATTAGGATTCTAAATAAGTTCATATGAACAACATCATGGATGGAGCTCAACCTTTACAAGTACAACCTAATTATATAGCTAATCTACAATGGTACACCTTATGCGGTTCAATTTCTTTTTTTCTTACTGGTTGATCCGTATCTCTTCGTTTGAGGAAATTTCAGATGTTAACACATGTAGCAAACAATAAGTCAATAATGCAACGTATCATGTTTTCCTTTCATCTTCCATAGCCTGATTTGTTGGATGAAGGTTTCCAATCTAGGATAGAAACTGTCACAAATCGGACTGCTCAATTAGTACGATATTGTCTGCTTTGGGTCAAACTCGCACGGTTTTACTCTTGGATGTCCTCCCCAAAAGGCCTCGTACTAATTGGGCTATATGGACACTAATATACAAGGGTTCCTTCCCTTGTATTTCCGATGTGGTACTTGGATTGACACACAACAGAAACATATTATCCATTTCTCCCTGTCAAAATGTCATCGATGTGTTCTATTAAATTTTAATGAAGGTTAAGAAGTTACAATCTCATTGAGCCTCTCTTATATTCACCCATCCCCTTCACAATATGATTCATGTAGAATGAACTTACAAATAAATTATATTTTAAAATCTTACATCAAGCATTCGATTTCAAATATATCGAATTATTATGTTACTTAAACACAAATAACCTAGATGCCTATATTCTTAAAATAAACCGCAAAACAAAATTTCAAAATTTGAGGGAAGACCAACAAGCTTAAGTAGACAATCTCCATGTTTTCTAGTGCATGGTCTCCCTTTTAAATCTTCTCTATTTCATTTCCAATATAATTTTTTTTGTATAATGTGTTTGGTCGTTGCTTCATATAATATGGTGCATTTCTTTAACCTGGTTTTCAACGACTTGTAATTCACACTTCCATTATATATATAACTGAGGTAAGGTTTTATTTTCCAACTTGAACTGACTAATAACAATAACTTAATAAGGGGTTTGATGTAGAGAACACATCAGATTGTGCTAACTAATTCGGATTAAGAAGACAAAATTAAGAGAAGACCGTGAAGCTCTCCAGACTCCAGTTCTTCACTTCCACTCTACCATCTGGGCCCGAAAGCCTGCCACTTTGTTGTCCTGCGACGTTGTTCTTCAGTTTGGGCCAAGCCCACGTAGGGAGTTGAAGCCCAACGCTAGTGATATTTGTCATTTTGTGTAGACATAGGATCAGAGTCGGAGAGTTGTTTAATGGCTGCCTAATCATCATATAAGGACAAAAGTCAAAAACTTCATCCTCAGATGAATCATGCTGACCGATCTTCGTATCCATTGTTTTACCTGGGAACACGATTCCCGTTTATCCATTGTTCCTTCCGGATCGAACTATATCTCTGCTCGGAATCACAGCGGCCGGCGGCGGCGGCGGGCAACCAGTGTTTTCCCGACAGCTTCTCTTTCCGGTCTCGGCTACTGGATCCATTCCGACGGCGGAGACAGTCGACCGTAGTAGTAGCTTGAGCCGCCGTCAAATTTTCTCCCAGAAAGGTGCGAGATATCCGTCCCTTATTTCCCTCTCGACTCTTCTTATACCCTGATTATGAACTTGCAGTCACATTAAACCGAAGGTTTATTGGGTTCTCATGATTTATCTTGGGTTTAATTGAACTAAAGGGTAGCTGTAAGAAATCACTAGAGACCTTAACTAAAGAAATGCCGCTTTTTCTACCAAAACGGGATATTAAACTAATGAAGCAAGCATGGCTCTGCAGTATTTTGCCAACTTGGAGGGATCCTAAAGCGAGAAAGTCTTTTTCCTTTTTCCCTTTCAGCACCTACTCGATGTTCAACCATGGCTGCCAACGCATATCCGTGTGTGTTGGACTATGATAAGGGCAAAAGGAAACACACAGAGTTAAACGGAAAATGGGGTTTTCAAGCCTGTTTCTGCTCTACATTTTGATCTTACTATCACTGTGTTCTTGCTATTACGGTGATACCATCTCCATAAACAAACCCCTCAAAGATGGAAGCCTGGTAATTTCCAAAGGTGGTAACTTTGCTCTTGGATTTTTCAGCCCTGTGGGAGATAATGGGAAATCCGGTACCAGTTCCAGGTATCTTGGAATATGGTACAACAAAGTGCCAAAGCAGACAGTCGTCTGGGTAGCAAATCGGGACGATCCAATCAAGGATTCATCTGGGGAAGTTTCTGTTGACAATCATGGGAACCTCATTCTGGTCAGCAGCCATTCCCCTGGAGTTCAACTCTGGTCCACAAAAAAGGAAGCAATGCCAATGTTTTTCAATGCTTCTGCTGGTGCAGCAGCTCAGCTCTTTGATTCAGGGAATTTGGTGCTGTTTCGTGGCGGGAGAGGAATGGTTTGGCAAAGCTTTGATCATCCTACTGATACCATTCTACAAGGGATGAAGTTCGGGTTGAATAGGACGTCAGGCGCATTATCATCCTTAACATCATGGAGATCATCAGACGATCCTGGTACTGGAGATTACTCGTTGAAGCTCGATCCAAGAGGTTCTCCTCAGCTCTTTCTTATCAAGGGGACAACAAGAAGAGAACCTTACTGGAGAAGCGCACCATGGCCATGGAAGAAGTACCCTCATGTCTACAACTACACCTTTGAGAACAATGAAGCTGGGGTTATGTTCTCATACCATACTTATGACCCTTCAATTACGATCAGGATAGTGCTTGATGGGGTGGGAATTCTGAAACCAATGGCATGGCACGAGAGAGATGGAAATGGAGATTGGAGGGAGTTCTGGTCTGCTCCGAAGCTCAGGTGTGACTTGTATGCTCATTGTGGTGAGTATGGTAGCTGTGATCCTTTGAGGGTTAACACATTTGAGTGCTCTTGTTTGCCTGGGTATGAACCGAAGAACCCGATGGAGTGGTCTCTGAGAGATGGATCTGATGGGTGTGTGAGCAAACGGGTGAATAGTTCCTCAACGTGCGGGGAGGGTGATGGGTTTTTGAGACTAGAACATGTCAAGCTCCCTGATTCTTCTCATGCTATTTGGGTGGATGTGTTGTTGAGTTCGAGCATTGATTTGGAATGTGGGAAGACATGTTTGAGTAACTGTTCATGTTCCGCATACGCGATCGTTAATGCGAATGAAGAGAAGAAGAGGTTGTGTCTGCAATGGCATGGCGTGTTGGTGGACACCACAAACCGTGGAACAACTGATGGATATGATCTCTATGTTCGTGTGGATGCGGTTGAATTAGGTAGGTATTACATTCATTTTTGCTTACTATCGTTGTTTCAGTTTGATTTTTTACGCCTTCCAACTCTCGTCATTATGCAATTTTAGCTGGACGGTCCACAGATCTCGATGGCTTACCTAAGTGGAGGTCTATGGTGGCCGTCATGGGAGCTTCAGTTACTGCAGCATGGTTTGTCATTGTTTCATTTTACTTGGTGCTGAGGAGGAAAAGACAAGGTGAATTGACAGTGAACCTTGTTTTATCGAATCAAACGACTTGATTGTTTATTTTCATGAACTCAATGTTGATTGTGTTTGATGTATGGACATACAGTGAAGGATAAAGCGAATAGCAGAAGGTCTGACCAGTCAACTGATGGTTCACTTGGGTACAGAGAGAGAATGGGGAATGAGCTTCCCATTGGTAGTGGAAAGAGGACTTACCATCAGGACCTTAGTTTTTTCAGTCTGAGCAGCATATCAGCAGCAACTGATGACTTCTCTCCGGCTAACAAACTTGGTCATGGTGGTTTTGGCATAGTTTATAAGGTATTTAGCCATTTCTCTATTTTGGCTATTGGTTTGGTTATGAATTGAAATAGCGAATGACACAAGATCTGATCATATGCTACCTTGAGACTTTTGCAGGGTCAGTTACCTGATGGCCAGGAGATTGCAGTAAAAGTTTTAAGTAAGAACTCAGGGCAAGGTACAGAAGAATTCGAGAATGAAGCCGAGTTGATTGCAAAGCTTCAACACAGGAACCTTGTAAAACTGTTGGGATGCTGCATTGAGCATCACCAACAAATGCTGGTGTATGAATACTTGGCAAACAGAAGCTTGGATTCAGTTCTTTTTGGTGGGGGAGTCTCTCTCATCAGCTCATACCTCCAACCATATCTCTGGCTAAGGAATTGACACATGTAATGAGTTGTTTGTTTTTCTTAAAACAGATGAAACCAGGAAGGTGTCCTTGGATTGGAACAAGCGATACAACATTATGGTTGGCATTGCCCGGGGCATCTTGTATCTTCACCAAGATTCGAGGTTACGAGTGATCCATAGGGACCTGAAAACCAGCAACATTCTTTTGGATGCTGACATGAACCCAAAAATTTCAGATTTTGGGACCGCTAGAATGTTCAAAGGCGATGTACTTGGAGACCGGACACATAGAATCGTCGGAACATAGTACGTTACATTTCATGATCCACATCTACACATTTTTATCAACTTTCTGTCATCTGCATTTTCATTTCTTGAATATATTTCAGTGGATACATGTCGCCTGAGTATGCAGTGCTAGGACATTTTTCGACAAAATCCGATGTGTTTAGCTTTGGGGTTGTGCTGCTGGAGATCATAAGTGGGATCAGGATCAATGCGTTGTGTGAGGAGGATGAACCCCAGAACTTGATTGGACATGTAAGTAAAACCCTTTCAAAAATTCTCTGCGCTACAGGGTCTTTGACATGAACGAACTTTGGAATTACTGACTAAATTGTTCATTGAGCTTGGATTGTAACATATTTAGAAATAACTAAATTTACAAGCTCTTCATTCACGACATTTAGTAGCTTATTGAACATCTAAACAGGTTTGGGAACTATGGAAAGTAGACATGGAAAGGGTGATGCAGGTAGTCGATCCATCGTTGGAGGACGAGAAGGAGAAGCGTTTCGAAGACATCTTGAGATGCATCCAAACTGCGCTCCTTTGTGTCCAAGAGAAAGCAGATGATAGACCAGACATGTTGGCAGTACTTCTGATGTTGAACGGCGAAAGAACACTGCCTTCCCCCAAGCAACCTGCTTTCATTTTTAGAGAACATCCATTGATGTCAAAACAAGAAGAGGAAGAGCAATGTTCCATCAATCAGGTCACCATCACAATGTGTCTCTCTCGCTAGTTACTGCATTGTTTGCTGATCTCTACATCACCAGTTTTTTTTTAGTCAATGAATGTCCGGTGATGAATGGCTTCCATTGTTCATGGAGTCTAATGTACAAGGTGGTTCTTCACTGGTAGTTTTAGCATTTTTTAGGTTTATGACTTCCACAATTCATGGTTCTAATGTAAGAAGATGATGCATCTTTAAGTAGGTTTAGGACTTATTATACTCTTTTGGTGTCAAGTTAATGGCGATTGGTGAAGGCGACAATTCATGTGACTGGTCACTAATTGTGAGCTTGGTAATAAAATGGTCACTAAACTAGATTTCTCAAAACAAAAACTAACTAAGCTAATTGATAGTTAACAAAATAACCACTTTCTTCTCCAGACACTAATGGTTAGCACCTCACCTACCGTGCGGTCCAACTCTAAGATCGACTGGAAAGAGTTGGGCGAATTGAGCATTCTGTGATTGGACAATTTAGATAGTATGACAATTAAACGACAATTGATTACGATCATTGATTTCAATTGACGAAAAAACATAATTTCTGACGGTTTAAGAATAGGACGATGAAGAAATAATGTACCACTAATCTGTACTTAAATCGATACTACTACCTCTTATATACATACACTACACTACACTTTTTAAGTTGAAACATGTAAGTTCTCATCGCCCTTCAACGATGATAGATTCAGTCAAGTCATTGAAGATCGCAGGATTCGCTGTCTTGTTCTGGAACGTGTAAGTTGGTTTAGTCGGCCGCGGAAGACTCGTTTCCCCACTAAGCATGGAGAGCACACTCGCCATTGTTGGCCTGTCAGATGCATGATCTTGCACGCAGAGCAGTCCCACGTTCACGCATCTGCTGATTCTGCTCACTTCTGAGGGCTTACTCGACTCTGCAACTGTCTCGTCGGCCATGTCCACTCCCCTGCTTTCGTCCCATGATCGCCATGCCTACAGAAGATCATTGTTAAGCTGGGTAAGCAACAATTTGGTGTTCATAAGAAAGAAGGCTCAACTTACATAAGAAAGAAGGCTGGGATGGTGCTCTTCGTAATGGAAGCTGGTAGTTTTCCTGCCACTGACTATTTCCAACACGAGAACTCCGAAGCTGAACACGTCAGATTTCTCCGAGAACATCCCAGCCAGTAAGTACTCCGGTGACATGTACCCCCTACAAATTTGAGATCAACCGCCATGAAAAAAATCAGCAAATAAGATACAGAATCAGTTGGGAGTGGTAAAAGAAAAGAAGTGTTCCATGGCAGAGTCTACTTACAATGTTCCCACCACCTTATGGGTACTAGCCAAATCCTGTGTCCCTTCGAAAATCCTCGCCAGCCCAAAATCAGATATCTTTGGGTTCATCTTCTCGTCGAGGAGAATGTTGCTGACCTTCAAATCTCTGTGTATGATTCTCAAACATGAGTCGCGGTGGAGATACAGAAGCCCTCGAGCAACCCCGTGTATGATGTTGAAACGTGTCGGCCAGTCCAGCTCTGCCTTCTTTGTCGAATCTGAGCAAACAATGCAAGTCAACCAACGTAACAAGAACATAAGAGAAGGAAGAAACTCAGATGCACAAGCAAAATGAAGCATGAAAGGGAGAGTAGAGCAAAGAAACCAACCAAAGAGGTAATTGTCCAAGCTTTTCTTGGGCATATACTCATAGATCAAGATCTTTTCCAGTTTGTCAATGCAGCACCCAAGCAGCCTGACGAGATTCCTGTGTTGCAGTTTGGATATCAACATGATCTCATTCTTGAATTCATTCGCACCCTGTCCCGAGCTGCTCGAGAGTCTTTTGATCGCCACAACTTTCCCATCCGGTAGCTTGCCCTGTGCATTGGACAAGCCTTTCAGCCATCAAAGTATCTGATACAATGTCGAGACCAATTTATCGAAATAACTCGACTTGTTAGAAGTAGTCGTAAAATGCATCGTATACCTTATAAACTGGACCAAAGCCTCCTCGGCCAAGCAAGTTTTCTGTGTTGAAACTGTCTGTCGCTATCTCAATGCTCTCCAAATCAAACATGGGAAGCTCCAATGACTCGTCCGGCACCTCTGAATAGCCCTTTGGCACATATGTAACCCGTTTCGAAGGTACACTCGAGTTGTCAGTTCCACCTACAAGGACCACAATGCAGTACTATCACTCCCAATAAGAGCTTCAGGACGGATCAAAACAGGTCAAGCACAACACTTTGTGACAGAATCTCGTAATCAGACCTAATTAATTACCTACCCTTTGTTGTATTAACCCTTCTTTTCCTCCACATAACCAAACCCAAAACCAATACCAAAGCAACAATAACAAGGGTTCCCAGAATAGTAGGTAGTATAACAATCAGCCTTGCAGACTGCTTCTTCTCATCATCTGAGAAAGAAAAAGGAAGTAAAGCAACAATCTTTAGCAGATGCAATCCCAATATCATTCAACCAATGACTGTCCGGTTAATCGGTTGAACCAGTAAGTGACACTCACCTAATTCAGTACTTGCTAGGCGAAGATACAAATCCTGCCCAGCAAACGGCAGCACCTGCAAATCCACAACCTTCCCTTTCCACATCAAACACCCGATCCCATTCACAAACGAATACGCGGTGCATGAACAGTTGTTCAAGCACTGTCTCGAGCATTCGCCATCGTCCCAAACCCTCATGAACTCTGAAGAATCAGGGACATTCACTCCACTCAACTTCAGAAACCCATCTCCTCCATTACTACTCACATTACTCTTCCCACATAACAACTCGGTCCTTCTTATGCACCCTCCAGACCAGTTCCCTTGCCTCCATTCCTCCTCCGATTTCGGCACAAACCCTTTCAAGCAGTTGCAAACCAAAGGATCATTCCTCTCACAGACACCAAACTCCCCACATGAACCATAATTCTCACACTGGGATTTAGGAGTCCTCCACCTAGCATACCAACCTCTAGTTCTATCCCAACACCTCAATTCCAGGGATCCTGACGACGACAGTACAAATGTAGTATAAGTGCAGTTTCTAGGTGGACTCAAGGAGAGATAAACCAAACCCTGGTCAAGATCATCAAGGAGCGTGAGTGAGCTCTGGTAATCGGTGTCCATGTCTGGGATATTGGTAAACCTTGCTTTGTCCCAGGGACCGGATCTCCAATACGTCATTTGATTCCTCCATATGGTAGCCTGCGGCGGCGTTTGGAGGAGGAAACTGGCCGTGAATTCGCCAGGGGAAGGATCGGCTGCGGATTTCCATGCGTTGAGGAGGAACGGTTCAGCCGTCGGGTTGCTGGCGTTGAACATCAGCCATTTCCCGGCGATGAGCGTGTCGCCGGAGTGGTCGCCGCTCTGCCACAAATTCTGCCCCGTCGAGCCATCCCTCAAAACCAAGTTACCATCATCTTGAAGCGAAGCGATCGCTGCAGAAGGAGAAGAAGCAGAAACGTTGGTTGACCAAACACGACGCTTCATCCCATCTTGTAGCTCCAAATTCCCGCCGGCGTTAACGATCAGCCTCGCCGCGGAATCCGTCACTGGGGTTTCCCGATTGGCCACCCAAACAATCGCCTGGGGAGAAGTTTGCTTGAATCGAACCCCTAATTAGCGTGCGTGGATGAACTTGTCATCTTCATATTTTCGAATAAAATGGGCGTGGATGAACTTGTTCTAATTAGCGTGCGTGCAAAATAATTTGTTGCGACACACAATCTATTGTAAAATTGGATGAGGATGTTACGATACAGATCTTACTTATCAATTATTATTCATTAAAGTAGTGTATCTTTGATCTAACTTGAGGGATGATAACGACTTTGAGAAGATTGGTTTGTGTAATTTTTTTATTACTTTTTTTTTTTTTTAACATAGTCAAAACCAGACATAAGTCCGGTGCAAAGTCAAAGTACAGAACAAAACCACGGGCGGAAGTCGACTAATCGCCGAACTTCCGATGAGAGAGCGTTTTGGGCCACAAAATGGGCTGCTCTATTAACTCGACGAGTAACAAGGGAGCAAGAACAAAACTCGAGTCTCCTTGTTAACTGACGAACATCAGCGAGGATTGCCCCAGCCGAAGCATGAAGAGAGTCTCCCGCCAAGAGAAGTCGAACCACCATATGCGATTGACCATGAAAATTGATAGACAAAAAACCATGCGTCAGACACCAATCTAGTGCGTCACGGAAGGCTAACAAATCGGCAATGAGGGAATCAGTAATGCCTTCATAGTACTTACCCATAGCACAGAAGAGTTGGTTAGAGGAATCCAACCCGACGAAACCGACACCAGCACCTCTACCACGACGAGAGAAGCCATGAAAGCCCACCGTTATTGCCGGAGAAAGAGAACCCGTACCTCCCGGAGCTTGAGAGGACAAAACTCCCAAGAGAGGGAGAGGAGCAGCCCGAGGTACGCGGCGCATACCAGCAGCATCCACCGACGAGTTATCCTGAGAAGCAACGAGCCATTCATCTCTTTGAGCCGCAAACTGACGGGCCAATGCAGAAGGTAAGTATTGGATACCCCCATGCACTGCCCAACATCGACCCATCCAGATCCTCCAAAAGAGAAATATGACCTCAGCTATCTGCGCTTTAGATAACTGCAAGGAGAAAAACAAATGTTTCCATGAGAGATCCCAATCCAAAGCTTCCAGATGGAAACGAATGTGGTCAAATCCTGCCAAAGCCCAAACACCACGCGCAACCCGGCAACGAAAGAAGCAATGGCCAAAAGACTCCACGCCATCCGAGCACACCGGACAAGTTGCTGAGTCTACTACTGTCTTGTGAAGGAGAACAGTGAGGATGGGAAGAAAACCCCTAGCCATCCTCCACGCGAAGTTGCGGAGCTTCGGAGGCAGCGGTAAGCTCCATAGCAGTTTCCAAAACCTACAATCATAAGGAAGCACTGGGGGAGGGTGAAGAGCATTCAACTCATTAGTGAGCACCTGGTAACCTGACTTGACCGTATATTCTCCTGAAGGCGAGTAGTGCCAAATCATCCTGTCTTGGGAAGAATGACGAGGAAGAGGAATACTCATAATGAGCTGCACCGTGGAGGAGGGGAAAAGAGAAGATAGTAGAGGTTTATTCCAACCCCCTCCATCACTGAAAATCAAATCGGCCACCCGTAGGGAAGGACGAATAACACCCGCCAACAGGGATGGAGCTGAAGGTGGCGAAGTGGGCAACCAGTGGTCCTCAAGAGCACGAACAGAAGACCCATCCCCTATCTGCCAACGAAGTCCACGCTTGAGTAAATCGCGACCCTCCAAAACACCTTGCCAAGCCCAGGAAGGCCTGTTTCCTTTCTCAGCATCAAGGAAATGCAAATGAGGATGATATCTGACTTTGTATAACTTGGATAAGCAGTGGTCAGGGTTCCGAAGCACTCGCCAAGCCTGTTTAGCAAGCAAAGCCACATTGAAGCGATCAAAATCCCGAAAACCTAGCCCCCCAAGATACTTACTCTGACAGGCTGCGGTCCAAGATAGCCATCGGATGCCAGTTTCTTTGTCCTGACCAGCCCACCAATAGTTAGCAAGCAAACTATTGCAACGCCTACAAGTCCAAGAGGGAAGACGGAAGGAAGACATTGCATAGACAGGCGCAGCCGAACCAACAGCTTTGATGACAACCTCCTTCCCTGCCATGGACAAAGCTTTCGACTTCCTACTCCGGATACGTTTGGCCAAAGCTTCTTCAATGAAATGAAATGTTTGGGTTTTAGAACGCTGAACTTGAGTGGGCAGCCCCAAATACTTATCCCCTGGTTCCATCTTTGAAACTCCCAGGAACGCAGTGAGTGCATCCAATTCCTGCTCTGAGACATTATGACTAACAGAAACTGCAGATTTCTGAAGATTAACACGTTGACCACTAAAACGACCAAACTCATTATTACTACTTTTCATCTTCTTATGTATTTAACAAAGTATCCACCGTCAAATGTGATGATTAATGACCAATCTCTTGTCACATGGTTTTAATTATAGATACTGACTTCATGTGGATTGTTACATAACACCAAACAATCAAACGCGACAATTGACAAACAATAGAACTATCGATGAAAATGCTTTTTTTTTAGTGTTAACCCAGTAAATGAGAAGCCATGTTGTACTTATTGAAGTAAAAGTACAAGAAAAAATAGAACATTTTATAAAAAAATCGAAGGATTCTTGAGAAAAATCGAAATGAGTTAATTTCTCACTTTCTTTTATAAACTTTTGAAGAATAATAAATCTAACACTTTATAGCTAGTGTTGAAACTTCGGGCACGTCCAGTATATACTTTTTGTTTGGGTGTATTTGGTCTAGTATTTAAACTTTAATTGTTAAATTTTGAATTTTAATTGTTGGTATTTGTTTAGTATGATGGTATGGACAAGAATATAGTAAATTCATGCATGTTTACTCATATTTTTGTTCTTAATGATCATTAAATAAAATTTTAATGTTGTAGAGAGCAAGTATAAAATTATCTAACATACAAGTAAATCACAAATAAAATTTCACGTGTGTATTTATGTTAATTATTAAACACTTGAAACAAGTAAAATGAATAAGATTACTATTATAAGATTTGAGTGTACAGTGTACACCTAAGTTCAACGATGCACCATATACGCACCCTAAATTTTTTGTGGTAAGAAATCATTTTACTATGAATTATTATTATGATCCCTAATCATTTATTTACAATTGGGGGCAACAATATGCCATATGGCAATGGAGAATTGAGAGTGAGAGTTCCAAATAAGAAATCGTTTTTTTTTTTGTTTCACATACAAGAACATAATAACTAATGATTACTTGGTGGGAAAATATTCTCGGAGAAGGAAATTTTGGGAATTATTTCTCAAACATGATTTTATTTGTTTTTTGTTTTTAGTTATGGGGCTTTGATGAAACCGCGAAAAATGACATCGATGTCAACACACTCCACAAACATGGCATAAACGGAGAACTCTATTAATAGAATTTCTATATTTGTCATAAGCTAACACATTTGTAAACGGGATGTTGTATTCTTCCACACTATAAAACTCTTGGAATAGGTCACAAACTAAAGTAATAAAAGGCAAACAATTTAGAAGGTGTGAAAGGGGAAATATAAAGCATTCATGGCGAGAAATCACAAGTTTTTGGTTTTGACGGTCACCTTCTTCTTCATCATCCTATTCATATCTCCTTTCGTTATTGGAGATGATCAAGAAGAAGAGGACGATAATGGGGATACTGGACACACGGGTCATACAGGACACACGGGTCATACAGGACATACAGGTCACACAGGCCATACCGGTCATACTGGACATACTGGTCATACCGGTCATACAGGTCACACCGGTCATACTGGGCATACGGGTCACACAGGACATACTGGTCATACAGGTCACACAGGACATACAGGTCACACAGGACATACTGGTCACACTGGTCATACTGGTCATGGTAGAGAAACATTAGAGACACCAGCGACTCCAGCAACACCTGCCACACCTGCCACACCAGAGACACCAGCTACTCCGGCGACACCAGCAACACCTGCCACTCCAGCTACTCCTAAAACACCTGCTACACCCAAAACTCCGGCCACTCCTAAAACACCAGCAACACCAAAAACTCCAGCTACTCCGAAAACACCAGCAACGCCAAAGACTCCAGCAACTCCAAAAACACCCGCAACACCAAAAACACCCGCGACTCCTAAAACACCCGCCACACCAAAAACACCTGCTACACCAAAGACGCCGGCCACCCCCAAAACACCTGCTACACCAAAGACCCCGGCCACCCCAAAAACGCCAGCGACTCCAAAAACACCTGCCACACCAAAGACACCAGCCACCCCTAAAACTCCAGCTACCCCAAAGACACCTGCCACACCTAAGACACCGGCTACACCTAAAACACCAGCCACACCAAAGACACCAGCTACTCCTAAAACTCCAGCAACACCTAAGACACCGGCTACTCCAAAAACACCTGCTACACCAAAGACACCAGCTACTCCTAAAACACCCACCACACCGAAGACACCGGCAACACCAAAGACTCCAGCTACTCCAAAAACACCAGCAACACCGAAGACACCAGCTACTCCTAAAACCCCAGCAACCCCAAAAACACCAGCTACACCCAAAACTCCTGCAACTCCTAAAACTCCAGCCACACCAAAAACACCAGGGACACAAGAAGAACATGGTGGACACGATTTATAATTTGATTTTACATGAAAGTAATTTGATTTCACAAGAAGAACATGGTGGACACGATTTATAATTTGATTTTACATGAAAGTAACCTTTTATGAGGTTCTCTTCTCAAACTTGATCTTTCTAATAACGTATTCTCTTTACATCTTAGTTGATACAAATAAATTGTTTATGTCTAAAAAAAGTATTATGCACACGCTTTTATCGTTCAGATCATGTTACAGTTTATAATAAAAAAATTAAAATCACAATGTAAGGCCAAGCCAAGTTTCTTTTTTTCCTACCTTTCGATTTACAAAAAAAGAAGGCCATTGTACAGAAAATGATTTGTTGAATAAAATTAGTTGCGAAGTGTTCATCCTTTGTGCACAACAACACAAATCCAATCTTCCAAGGTGAACTGTTGTGGCCCTCGAATACATAATTTCGCCTCATAATCAAACCTCATCATACCAAGTCTGTGATAAACCAATGTCTTTACATCAAGAAATCTAATGAAAACCTACGTATTATCAATCAGAATAAACAATTTACATGTATAGGTATATGCAAAAAAGAAATGAGAACTAACAAAAAGGGAGATGAACATATGCAATTGCATATGTACTCATCTTCCTATAACCATTGTGACAGTTAACTCATTCGACACAATATCCTGACCTTCTGAATAGAGATCTCTGTCAATGGAAGCTCTCATGGAAGAAGTGAAAGTCGGTTGCCTCGGCATTGGCAAGCTCGGGCTATCGCTTTCCAGCGTCAACATCACTGCTGCCATTGTTGGTCTCTGAACAGGGTTGTCTTGCACACACAACATCCCTAATTGTATGCATCGCAATAATTCTTCTTGAGGAGAAGAACCTCGAACCGAAGGATCCACGAGGTCCAGTGCTCTGCCTTCACTCCAGAGCTCCCATGCCTGAAAAAGAACGGAAAATTGACATCAAGAACACCGTTATAGGTAGATGAAAAATATTCAATCGGTTTAAGAGATTGAATCTTTACATATCCTATGAGGTTCACATGATCCGACGAGCGAAAGCTTGTGTTCCTTCGACCAGTGACAATTTCCAATACTAATACACCGAAGCTGTACACGTCTGATTTGACAGAGAACAATCCTTCCATTGCATATTCAGGCGCCATGTAACCGCTGCAAGAGTTTAATGATCATCAAATTAGCTAATGGAGTTGTGTTTCAGCAAGGACTTCCATCGAACAGGTCTGGGCAAGAAGAAACTCACTATGTCCCAACTACTCGATTTGTGTTGGCTTCATTCTGGTTGCCACCAAAGATTCTAGCCATGCCGAAATCTGAAATTTTCGGGTTCATTTCCTCGTCCAGCAGAATGTTGCTGGCTTTTAAGTCTCTATGAATGATTCTGAGCCTCGAATCTCTGTGGAGGTAGAGCAGACCTCGAGCTATCCCTTCGATGATAGTGAACCGCTTCGCCCAATCCAAAGTTGCTTGCTTTCTTGGGTCTATAGCAAACAAACCAAATTAGCAAAAACTGACAGTTCAAGCACTTGCAATGAAAAGTGAGGAATTTGGGCCGTAAGACTTACCAAAGAGAAAGAAGTCCAAGCTCTTATTGGGCATATACTCATAAATCAACATCTTCTCATCTCCTTGAACGCAGTATCCCAACAATCTCACCAAATTCCTGTGCTGCAATTTCGCAATCAAGCTTATTTCATTCTTGAACTCCTCCACGCCTTGACCGGAGATTCTCGATAGCCTCTTCACTGCGATTTCTTCACCTCCCGGAAGCTTTCCCTATAACATGATAAAGAACCAAACTTTAGCCAAAAACTGCAAAACCCCATTTGGCTTCAACTTGTTCATGTTCTTCTTGCTACTAAAGCCTTGTTCTTAACACCCTTAAACTCACTTATACATGTCACAATAGGCACTAGTCTCAACCTAATAATCATCTTCATCATTTTCATTTCCCCATGTCACCTCCACCTGATTTTACAGTTATGGAGCTAACCTGGCAGCTTTTAATTGGATAACCAAAAGGCTGCTACCATATCAGCAAAAACTTGCAGAGCAAACAGAATGAAAACTAACAGTGATGCATAAGAACGATTCTAGCGATTTATTTTCCTCAACATCGTGTTTAAATCCTCATTCAACGACATATGACTCGCCTTATAAACCGGGCCGAATCCTCCTTGGCCGAGCTTGTTCTCTATTGAGAAGTTATTCGTTGCAATCGCTACGCAGTTGACATTGAACAATGGCAAATCCGCAGGATTCATTTGACTTCCTTCAATGATCTCAGCTGGGCCAGAAAGATCTGAGGAAAACTCCCTGCTCTTGCTAGTATCAAACATGGGAGTCTCATTCTGTTTTGTCCCTGACACAGAAGGGGCTGCTGGAATAACTGTCGAGAAAATTTGTCTATCAGAGTCATGACAAGTAAATTAAACAGAAGTTGCTCGAGAAGATCAATAATAGCTACTGACCTTGAAGTTTCCTTTTGATTCTGCAGAACAGCCATACTATTACGGCCAAACCAACCACTGATGCCACAACAATGCCTACTATCACAGGAATCGATAGCTTCCTGCCATCATCTGTTCACAGTTTAACAATCCACCGATTAGACCATGTTTGAGCATTTACAATACAGAGTTCACAACCCATCAATTATATGCAGTAAGTGTCTTACCGAGTTCGGAGCCAGCTAGTCGGAGGTTGAGAACGTTGCCACCGCCGGTGCCGAAATGCTGAACGTCGACCAAACCTCCACTCCAAATCATACACCCAATCCCATTGATCATCGAATAAGCCTTACACTCACAATCGTCCAAACACCTCTCACGGCAAGAATCCGGCGAGACTCCCTCATGAACATCGGCGAAGTCCGGCAATTTCGTGCAGCGTATGGATCGAAATCCGTCTTCTTCACCCCCAGTCTGGCTACTACTGTTGCTCTGGCACTGCAGCGGCGTGTTCCTCTGGCATCCGCCGGTGAAATTCTCTGAATTCCATTCCGATAGGTTTCTCGGCCGGAACCCTTCCATACAGTTACACGTTGGCCGTCCCGATTCGTCACAGACCGCGAATTCGCCGCAGCGATTGTACGCCTCGCACCCTTCCTCCGGCTGCCTCTGCAGCACGTCCCAGATTCTCCGGCTTTCGTTCCACCGGAGCTGCTCCTCAATCCCGTCCCAACCAATTCGGAACCGCAAGAGCGCGGAGGCGTTTGCCGGATTGTACGTGAAGTACAACCTGCCGTCGTCTTCTCGGGTTAATTTGAACCCGTACTGGAAATTCGTCAGCGTCGTCATGCTGGGAACTCCGGTGAAAATCAGCCCGTTCCACTGCCCGCTCCGCCACCGCCGATTCCCGTTCTCCCAAATCACAATCTGCGGCGCCCCGCGCGGGTCCACCCCCAAGGTAAAATTCCCCGGCGACGGGTCGTCGGCCGATCTCCACGAGCTGAACGCGTGGTTTTCCCCTACGGCAGCGTCCACGAGAACTCTCATGTTCGGCAGATACGTGTCCGTCGGATTGGCAAAGCTCTGCCAGAAGGCACGATCAACATCCCCGACGGTGTCGTTTTGGGACAAGATTAGGTTTCCAGTGACTGCGAGCAGCGCGACTGTATCGTTCGACTCAACCCTCGCCGTCGCGTTGCTGGACCAGACCCGCGTCCCATTCCCATCAGAAATCACCAAATTCCCATCTCCGGCCACGGTCAGCACGCCGCTCCGATCGGGCACCGGTCGGTCCCTGTTCGCGACCCAGATTAACGAATCCGCCTCCGCGGCGTCGTGGTACCAGATTCCCAGGTACCGGGAGGTTGAAATCCCCGGGCTGAAGAAGCCCAATTCGAACTTGTCGTCGACGGAGAGTAAAGTATCGCCGTCCCTCAGCGACTGGCCTCTGGTGATTTGGTTCACCGCGGAGCAAGACAGAGCGAGGAAGAGGAGGGTGTAGACAGAGTGGAAGCAAAATCGCTTGATTGGGTTGACGCCGGTGAACATAGTGGCTGCTGGGCAGTTCTTCTTTCTTTCGATCTCTGAGAAAAGAGAGGATTTTTTTTTAATGGCGGAAGGTTTTAGAAGGACTTAAGAGGAGGGAGGGGGAGACGGAGGAGAAATGTGTTTGACTGGGAAATGGGGATTTCCCGTTTTGAGGATAATTCAAAGGTTTGACTGTTAAATAAAGCGGATTTTTGATAAATTGGATTGTAGGGATTTATTTTTTAAAAATAATAAAATTTTGGTGGGAGAATATCTTTTGGTATTATTAGGCGGGCGAGAGGAAGTTAACATCCACGGTTGATGGGAAAATTCAACTTCAATGGACACATGCGTTTTGGAGGATTTGACATTCTTTTGATTAAGTGTAATTTGACCGACTTAGGGCGTGGTTACAGAAATTCCACTATAAAGGGGGGAAATTACATCAATGGTCACCAAACTTCCAAAATATATTGATGGCTTGTTAGAACGCATCGAGAAATTGACAATGTACGAAAACAAACATATAATGTAAATAAGTGGTTAAATATCACACATGGATCTCTCTCAACAATTCGAGTTATTGAGACAGTTGGTTAGGATATGGTATCAGAGCTAGATTGTTGTTGAGGTTACGTGCCTAATTCATTACGACCCCAATTATTAACCGTTGTCTTAAAGCACATGGTATGGTTGTGCCTGTGCAAACTCCAAGCCCATGAGCTGGCTTTCGTTTGAGGGGCATGTAAGGAAGTGATTAAGTATCATGCATGGACCTCTTCCAACAACTCAAGGTATTGGGACCATTTATCCTAATCCAATAAGAATAGGAAAATGTTACAAATCAAACCCAAAACAGCAGAAACAAACGCGTATAAACTCATACACCGACAATAGATAAATTTATCTTCAAATCATAACAACAATAGATCGGTCGTGAAAGAAATTACATTGAAATAACTAGTAAAATAGTCACATGTATCTTTTGAGTCGTGCAGGGTACAATTAATAATTTGGTATAATCGGGGCGCTAGTTTTGTATACTTTAAGACGAAAGAAGTACTTTGTGATGATAGATGAGTGACTATTACAAACCTTTTTATTTTTACTATTAGATGATCAAAGATTTTTCTTTTTTTAAAAGTTTAGATAATCTATAAGTACAATGACTGTCCATCAGTTCAACTACAATGACGAATATTTAAAAGCAAATGTCCATATCGATACCCTTACAAAATTTGAACAAATGGTCTCATTGTCCAAAGTTATCATCATCAATTGTTATAAACGCGCTGCTACGGATCGGGAAATCGCCGGAATCGACAAAGCAAGAATACGAGAGCGAGAATCGAAAGACACAGACACACGATTTACGTGGTTCACTAACACGATGTGTGTTAGCTAGTCCACGGGCGAGAGAGAGCCAGTTTCACTATATCTGAGGAGATTACAGATTACAGAGGAGTATGAGAAGTATTTATAGTACTTCTCCATGTGGGTCTAAACCTAATCCAATCTAGCAAAGGAAACGGTTACAGACCAGGCCCAGAACCCGAACCCAAATTACCAGTCGTAGCGGCTGATAATCCGATTCAAGTCATATCAACAAATCTCCACCTTGACTTGAATCCTCTTCCTCTGAAATCTCTGATGTACTCTGCTCCTTCTCTCTCTCTCCCGCCATCAATGCCCCGTAGGGCGGAGTCACCCACTCAAGACATTCAGCAAGTCCAAGCAGTGTTGGAACTTGCCATGTGGAACCGGCTTCGTGAACATATCAGCAGGATTATCCGCGGTGCCAACCTTCTTCACCTTAATCCTCTTCTCTGTCCTCAAGAAATGATACCTCACGTCGATGTGCTTAGTCCTCTCATGGTGGACTTGATCCTTGGCCAAGCATATTGCACTCAAACTGTCGCAATACACCACTGCCTGATCATGATGTAGACCAAGATCACCAACCAGTCCCTTCAACCATATTCCCTCCTTAGCAGCTTCTGTCAACGCCATATACTCTGCCTCAGTAGTAGACAATGTCACCGCCGACTGCAAAGTTGCCTTCCAGCTCACTACAGAACTCCCAAGAGTGAATACATAACCGGTCATCGATCTCCTCGTGTCAACATCTCCAGCATAGTCCGAGTCAGAATACCCAGACACCAAGCACTCTGTATCACTTCCGAAGCTAATCCCCACATCAGGTGTACCCTTAAGGTACCGGAAGATCCTCTTCACAGCCTGCCAATGCTCCTTCCCAGGTTGTATCATAAACCTGCTGACAACACTAACAGCATGTGCAAGATCAGGTCTAGTGCATACCATAGCGTACATCAAGCTACCTACTGCACTAGCATATGGGACTCTCGACATGTACTCCTTCTCAGCCTCTGACTGCGGTGCATAAGCTGAGGATAGATGAACATTTGAAGCACTAGGAGTATTTAAGGGCTTTGCTGAAGACATGCCAAACCTCGACAGTATCTTCTGGATGTAGCTCTTCTGTGACAAGAAAAGCTTCTTCTTCGACCTGTCCCTGTAAATCTCCATACCCAAAATCTTCTGAGCAGCTCCCAAATCCTTCATCTCAAACTCAGCACTGAGAAGCCCCTTTAACTTCTGGATATCAGACTTTGACCTCGCAGCTATGAGCATATCATCCACATACAGAACTAGATATATCATCGAACCATCCTCTGCCTTGTTGTGATATACACAACAATCATATGGACTTCTGCTGTAGCCCAGCTCAAGCATGTAACTGTCAAATCTCTTGTACCACTGCCTCGGAGATTGCTTAAGTCCATACAAGGACTTCTTCAGCTTACAAACATAGTCTTCTTTTCCCGGAACCTCGAATCCTTCTGGCTGAGTCATGTAAATTTCTTCCTCCAACTCTCCATGTAAGAAAGCTGTCTTCACGTCTAGCTGCTCGAGCTCCAAGTCATAATGTGCCACTATTGCTAGTAGCACTCTGATCGAAGTATGTCTGACCACTGGTGAGAAAATCTCATTGTAGTCAACTCCTTCCCTCTGCGAGAAGCCTCGTGCAACCACCCGAGCTTTAAATTTCATGCCCTCTTTAGAAGTGATTCCTTCCTTCTTCTTGTAGATCCACTTGTTTGTAACAATCTTCCTTCCCTGTGGTCGTTTGACTAGCTCCCAAGTCTGATTCCTGTCATGGGATTCCATCTCATCTCCCATTGCGGCAAGCCACTGATCAGCTTCACCACCCGAAACTGCTTCTCTATAGGACTGTGGCTCTCCTGCATCCACTTCTTCAGCAACCTGAAATGAATACGCCACCATGTCCTCGAAGCCATACCTCTGTGGAGGTACTCCTGCAGTCGCTCTCTTCGGTCTACCGGAAGCCATAGACTGTTGAGCTCGTGCACTGGACTCTGAACTTCCTGGCTCTGCAGAGACATCCTCATCATGTTGATCTTCTCCACCTTGGTGCTCAAACTCACTCTCATTGAGAGTTTGCAGCTCCACCTGTTTATCAACATTCCTGCTACCTTCAACAACAGTAACCTTCAACATGGGGTTAAACATAGACTTCTCATCAAATATCACATTTCTACTAAGTATAACTCGATGCTCAGAAGGTGACCAGACTCGAAATCCCTTAACTCCATCTCCGTAACCCACAAATACACCCTTCTTTGCCCTTGGGTTCAGTTTACCCTCATCCACATGATAATAAACAGGACACCCAAACACTTTCAGTGAAGAGTAATCAGCAGGCTTACCATACCACACTTCATAAGGAGTCTTACACTCGATACCTGTGTGAGGTCCACGGTTGATCAGGAAGCACGCCATGTTTACTGCTTCTGCCCAGAATCTTCTCTCTAGTCCAGCATTAGAGAGCATGCACCGTGCTCTCTCCAACAATGTCTGGTTCATTCTTTCTGCAACGCCATTCTGCTGAGGTGTATCTCTAACAGTCCGATGACGGGCAATCCCTTCATCCTTGCAGAATTCGTTGAACTCAGAACTGCAGAACTCCAGACCATTGTCCGTTCGCAGCTTCTTGATCTTCTTCCCGGTCTGATTCTCCACCAATGTCTTCCACTGCTTGAACTTCGTGAAAGCCTCACTTTTCTGCTTCATCATGAAAATCCAAGTAAATCTCGAATAATCATCAATAATAGACAGAAAATACCTGCTGCCTCCAATGGATTCAACTCGTGAAGGACCCCAACAATCGGAGTGGAGGTAATCCAGTATCCCCTTCGTCCGGTGGATACCCTTCTTGGGAAACTTGCTGCGATGTAGCTTCCCAAACACACAATGCTCACAGAATTCCAAATTCTGCACCTTGTGCCCGCAAAGAAGATCCCTCTTCGATAGAACTTGCATCCCCCGTTCACTCATATGCCCCAGTCTCATGTGCCAGAGAGTGGTCATATCTTCCTGTTGAACCTGAGACGATGCAACTGCAGCAGAACCAGACAACACAGACCCTTGTAATGCATACAAGGTCCCACGCTTCACGCCCTTCAGTACCTTCCTCGAACCCTTGCAGACATACACAACTCCACCTTTTCCTTTGAAGCTGAAGCCCTTGCTGTCGAGTAGACTCAAGGAGATCAGGTTCTTCGTCATTCGTGGAACATGTCTGACATCATTCACGGTACAGAACGAACCATCATGTGTCCGAACCTTTATGGACCCGATTCCAACAACCTTGCAGACAGCTCCATTAGCCATGACCACGTTACCACCATCTATCTGCTCGTAGGTTGTGAAGCAATCCCTGTTCGGAGACATATGGTATGAGGCTGCAGTATCCAGAAACCACACATCACCACGATGTGCCTTCTCATCTACAGCCAAGGCGAGATCGTCTTCAGAACTGTTGTCCACTTCTGCCACGGCAACTGAACCTTGTTTCTTCTGTTGCCCTCTTCTCTTGGGACAGTTGTACTTCCAATGCCCCACTTCCTTACAGTTGTGACAAGCATCACCTGGCTGTGGACCGGGACCCTTGGAATTCTTGCTCGAATTCCCTTTACCAG